AAAAAAAAAAAAAAGATATATTAAAGACTTAAGTGTTAGACCTGAAACCATAAAAGTCCTAGAAGAAAGCCTAGGACAAACTCTTCTAAACACTGGCCTAGGCAAAGAATTTATAGCTAAGACCTCAAAAGCAAATGTATACACACCATGTGTGGGTGTGTATAACATTTTCGTTATCCACTGATGAGTTTTTGGGCATTTAGATTGATTCCACATCTTTGCAATTGTGAATTATGCTGTGATAAGCATATGAGTGCAGGTGTTTTTTTTGTATAATGACCTCTGTTCCTTGGGAAGATACCAAGTAGTGGGATTGTTGGATCCAATGGCAGAACTATTTTTAGTTATTTGAGAAATCTCCATACTGATTTCCATAGAAGTTGTATTAATTTACACTCCTACCAACCATGTATAAGCGTTCCCTTTTCACCACATCCATGCCAACATCTATTGTTTTTTGATTTTTTAATAATGGCCATTCTGACTGGAGTAAGGTAGTATCTCATTGTGGTTTCAATTTGTATTTCTCTGATGATGAGTGATGTTGAGCATTTTTTCATGTTTGTTGGCCATTTGTATATCTTTTTTTGATAAATGTCTCTTCATAATTAATATACATTTTTAGATGCCAGCAGTAAACTGTTAGAAAATGAAATTTTTAATTGCTATATATTTATTTAATATATAATGTGTATATAATTTACATATAACTTATTTAGACTATGTAACACAAAATACATGCGACATATATAATATGATATATAACATGAATACATATCTACATTTAAGTAAATAGGACACAGATAATATGAACTACCTAGGAATTAATCTTTCAAAATATTTAGTATCTCTACAAAGAAAGTGATTAAAGTGTGCTGAAAGATATTAAAGAATACTTAAATATATGAAGAATCATACTCATGAACTGAAGAGTTGTTGATTCTCTCCAAAGTGATTTATAGATCCAGTAGAATCTTTATCAAAACTCCAAGTTTTTTTTATTGACCTTTACAAGTTGATTCTCAACATTAGGAAGAACAAAGGATCAAGCCAAGATAATCTTGAAGAAAAGAGCAAATTAAGAAGACCCCAGCCAGGTGCGGTGATTCACGCCTATAATCCCAGCACTTTGGGAGGCTGAGGTGAGAGGATTGCCTGAGCCCGTGGGTTCGAGACGAGCCTGGGCAACTTAGCGAGACCTCATCTCTACAATAAACCAAAAAATTAGCTGGGTGTGGTGACACATGCCTGTAGTTCCAGTTACTTGGAAGGCTGATGTGGAAGGATCCCCTGAGCCCAGCAGGTCGAGGCTGCGGTGGCCGGGAGCATGCCACTGCCCTCCAGCTTGGGTGACAGAATGAGATTTCAACTCAAATTAAAAAAACACACACACACAAAGAAGACCTCCCCAATACACATGAAGTTAATGATAAAGTCATATTATTAAGACTGTACTATTGGCATAGAGATAAATAGGTCAAATGGCAGAATAATGAACCAACAAACAGACTCTTCCATATATAAACCCTTGATAAATAACAGAATTGGCACAGCAGATTGGGAGGATAAACACACTTTTCAATAAATAGTTCTAGGACAAATATAATTCTATATTTTAAAAGGAGATATTTGACTCTAATCTCATGCCAAACCCAAATATCAATTCTAGGATCATTAGAGACCTAAATGTGAGAGGCAAACCTATAGAAATTGTTAGAAAATATAGAGGAAAACATCTTCACAATCTTAAGCTAGAAAGAAATGTCTTTAAAGACACAAAAAGTTCTAAAAAGAAAGATTGATATTTGAAGACTTTAAAAAAGAACTTTGGTTGCTGGGCATGGTAGCTCATGAATGTAATCCCAGTACTCTGGAAGGCAGAGGCAAGAAGATTGCCTGAGTTCAGGGGTTCATGATCAGCCTGAGCAACATGGTGAGAACTTGTCTCTACAATAAATAAAAAAATCAGTCGGGCATAGTGGCACATGCCTGTGGTTCCAGCTACTTGGAAGGCTGAGGCAGAAACAGCAGGTTGAGGCGGTGGGCATGCCATTTCACTCCAACCTGGGTGACAGAATGAGACTATGACTCAAAACAAACAAACAAAAACAAACAAACAACAAAACCCAGAACTTTGGTTAATTAAAAGATAAGCCAGATTTCTACATATGGCCAAAAAGCAAAAAAACAAAAAACAAAAAACTAGTACTAAACTTGGCTTTTCACCATAAATAATGATAAACTGAAAAAATATATTTAACAACTGTCTCCATATGTTAGACAACAGGCAGCACAGTCTATGATCCCTAAGAGAAGGGAAACACATGAACTGAGTCCTATGACTGCCCCAGCTCTGTTACTAGAGGGATTTTCCAGACCACAGTACAAGAAGGGGGCCCCTAACCAGACCACAGCGATCTCACTAGGTTGACAAGACAGAGGTTGGAGTTTGGAAAGAACTGAGGTGGCTGAAATTTTCAGCACAAAGTACCAAAGAGAAAGGAGCTACACAGAAAGAGGCCTTAAGATAACTGCATAGAGATTTCCTTGAATCTTCCTAAAAACTCATCTGTTTGTGTGTATAGGTTGAGGTTTCGTAAGGCAGAACAGAGAACAGTCAGTGGACTACAAACTGAACAATTCCTAACACTTAAACAAGGCCAGAAAATGTTTGAGCTCTGACAACTCAGAGTGAAAAGGTGTAAGTGAACATTCAAAGCATGTAGTCTAGATCCCATAAGGTTCATGCCTTAGCAGTAGAGATAAACTAACCTGAGAA